TTTTATAATGTATATGATATATGGCACATAAGTGCATATATCCAATTCATAAATATATTGAGATCACATTCCAATTTTTTTTTAATGAATGGATGTATGATCAAAAAAGTTTAAGCATAGATGCTTTGAAATGAGTTTAGTTCAAGATATGAGGTTTACATTTTTTCCCTTAAGGTTTACGTTTTTTAATTGTTGTACTAAATGATTTTAATTATACAATTTCAGTTATTTATACATTGTCTTGTTATAATGCCCTTGGTGTTAAATCATGTTTAGGTAACTTTTTCAGGTCTAAATGGAAAAACATGAAATAGAATAGAATTAATCAAATTATAGAATAAGTCATTGTAGGTGAGGTGGGCATTCAGTAACCCAGATCTCTAGAATTTAATAATAAAGGAATTGTGCTAATTCAACTTATTTGGAAGAAGCTAAAAAGGAAGAAATAGTAGTTATAAAATATTCTTTTGGAAACACCTTTAATAACTTTGAGGACAGATAAGAAGAAACCAAGTTAATTGTGTTTAGCAAATCTTTTAAGTGCTTTCATTTAATGGATAGCTGAGAATTATTTATCATTACTCTGTTCATTGTTTGAATTGAAATTAATACCAAAGTGGTGCTTGAATGGTCTTTTTTCCTTTTACATTTTAAATAGGCTAGACATTTGCTTTGTTTATACCATTAATTTGTTTTCACACAGGCTGCAAAGGTAACCAGCAACTCAGAATTAATTAGTAGAATCAAAATTAATGAGGTTTTACGGTATTGGGCCATTTTCACTTCAGGCCAGTTTTCTGTATATGAGTTGGACGAGCATTTTTTTTGAAGGAAGAAAAATTAGATTTATTTTAATCTATATTTAAAGCGCAGAGAACCATCTTTTCTTGTGAGTTAAGTACCTCTAATAACCATGCTTTCTTGGGCTTAGTAATATTGATTTTTTTTTTTGTTTTGTGTTCATTCTTGATTATTTTGGCTATTTCCAGTCTATTTCTTAGTACAGTAAAACGAAAGTTAACTCTTCAGATACTTACTATCATTTACAGGGATGTCGTATAATTTTTGTTTTGAACCAAACATGGTGTTGTGCCTGGGGCATACCATTTGCCAGTTTTCATTAGTTTTACACTAATGAAAGATGTGTAGAAATGTGAGAAAGGAATAGAGCTGTTTTTCTAAAAACACATTTGGGTAAATAGATGTGTTAACAAGAGAATGCATCACATGGAACTGAAAACCCAGATTTTGGGAGTTAAAAGCCTTTTTTTTGACCTTCAGAAAATTATATCTCATAATCTACTTTTTAAAGCAGATGCTGTACTATTCTTTAATACCTGTTTTATATGTCCTTTATTTTTGATACATAAGAGTAATAACATTTTTAGAGCTTTTAAGTGTTCTAATGAAGATAAATTGCATTTCCTTGAATTTTTTTTTTTTAAGTCTACACCCCTTTATTTTCCCCACGGTATTTCCATTTAACTGCTTTTAAGAGGAGAGATTTTTGTTTTTTGTTTTTTTTTTGCAGTTTGGCCAGGGCTGGGCTTGAACCTGCCACCTGTTATATGGGCCCGGCACCCTACTCCTTGAGCCACAGGCACCACCAATTTCCTCGAATTTTTGAAATTATCTGCTTGCATATCTATGGGGAGGGTGAAAGTTCAGACAGTGAAACTTCTCCTGAGGGGCTGATAAAGCCCAAGATCAAGTTCTTTATAGGGAGGGCAAGCTTTTATTTAAAATTAAATCATAGCTGTGTACATTAATGCAGTCATGGGGTACAATGTGCTGGTTTTATATACAATTTGAATTATTTTCATCAAACTGGTTAACATAGCCTTCGCCGCATTTTCTTAGTTATTAGGTCAAGCTTCTTTTGTTTTGTTTTGTTTGCTTATGGTCTCTAGTTCTCTTTCTGCTAAATTATAAACTCCAGTGAGGAGATATTTGACAGAAAGATTGTGCGTAGCTCAGTGCTTGTCAGTAGCTTTGTTTCACCTCCATCCAATATTGAGATCTCTGATCAATCATGATTTTGGGAGCACCTAACAAGGAAGAGAATATTGGCAAAACAAACTTCATATTGACTTATATTTCATTTTCTTTGTTTTTTGAAAAGAATAACGACAGTAGGTGTGAACACTAATGAATTGACTTTGGACTTAGGGACTAGCGTGAAGGCCAGTTAGGTATGTGGGACTAATTAAGCTTTAGCTCTTCTTAAGAAGATGCTGGAGGCTCGGTACCTGTGGCTCAACCGGCTAAGGCGCCAGTCACATACACCTAAGGTGGCAGGTTCAAATCTAGCCTGGGCCTGCCAAACAACAATGACGGCTGCAACCAAAAAATAGCCAGGTGTTGTGGAGGGCTCCTGTGGTCTCAGCTACTTGGGAGGCGGAGGCAGGAGACTTGCTTGAGCCCAGGAGTTGGAGGTTGCTGTGAGCTGTGATGCCACGGCACTCTACCCAGGGGGACAGCTGGAGGGTCTGTCTCAAAAAAAAAAAGAAGATGCTGGAGAGCTCATGAGTTGAAGTAGCAGACTCAGGAGTTAGCCATGGATGTGTGGATACTGTGGCTGACCCGTGCCTGAAGAAAGTACATGCATGACTAGATTGACAGGAGTGCTGTTTACAGATCCTTCTTAGCTATTTATACCCACAGGGAAAGATCACTATTTCTCTGATGAGAGAAGGAAGTAAAATGACCACGTTTTGATAGGTTGATATTGCAAAATAGAAAATTATAGTTACGGTGCTATATTCATGTAGCCACCGTCCCGTTTATTCTTAAAATGAATATTGTATATGTTTGACAAAGTCAATACTCATGATAATCTGTAGAAAGGCAAAGCATCCGTTTATTAAACTGTCTATTGTTTTAAGTGGGAAATGTATTTCTGATGCAACTGATAAATACCTTATGTATTGGAAAGAATTGAAAAGAAAGACCTTGGGGGGGTGTGTGTGAGAGATATATATATATATAAATATATATATACATATATATGTATATATACATATATATATATTTACCTAGTTTTATTCTAACATGCCTAAATTTAATTTTTTTTATAGTTTGCTACTTCGTTTTCATTCATTCATTAGTTATAAAACGAATTTTTCTGTCCCAGAAATCAACTGCCCCTGAGTTCTTTTAATATGTCTTTTTAAATAAAGAAATTTACTTTCCGTACGTTTCAATTGAATGCTTAACCAACAAAATGGGATAGGTAAGCTTAACAAATGCCTTAGAAAATTCTATATCATGTTTTAATAAAGGTTTCTCACACCGATTTTCTGAACTTGGTTTTCTTAACCTGTAAACTTAGTGAACACCTTCTATGCCGATGATAGAGTTTAAAAGATTATAATACAGGAAATACAAATAAAGCCGACCAAGAATACAAGAATGAAACTCTTGATTTAAGAACAAGTAGTCCGATCTTGCTGTTATTTTTTTTGTTTGTTTGTTTGTTAATGTGCTGGTTCATTCCAAAACTGATTTTGGGTTGTTTGCAAAACATCGTCCTCCAGTAAAAATGAAGGTAAATCAGAGTGAAGAGAAAACAGGTGAGACCACTTAGAGCACTTAGAGGCCACATTCACATACACATGTTCAAGCTTCTGCACTGTTCCAAACAGAAAATTCAGTCCTGAGTCTCTTAGCAGCCAAAACATGAAAGGAACCAGTTAGAGCAGATTTCTCGAAGTGTATCCCTCTTAAACTAGGTCTAATAAGATTACCACAGTCAAACAAATTTAGAGATGAATGATGTTGGATGCCCTGGTAGAGATAATTATGATCGTAGCATTCTAAATGCTCTTGGCAGTTCTGTGGTTAAAAACAGCACACACTTAGCACCTGTGTTTCTCCTGCAGTTAGCCACCACCCTCTTCCCCCATTTTTTCACCTCATACCTGTCAACATTTCTCAATTGCGGAATCAGCATGGTACTGATCTTTAGTTGAAAATGGCCTGTTTGCTTCGGAGAAGCCCAGATGGGTGAGGTTTGACAGGTTTTCACCTTGGACGTCATGTAAAGGAAAGTGTCCATGTAGTGCGATGAGCCCCATCCTCGATAAATAGCCATGGTATTTTTTGCAGATGGCCATTTTCATAGGGTTTCCCAGAAAGCATAACCAAGTAAGTCATTAAAAAGTTAAGTGTGAAATTGCTCCCACATTGTCTTACAAAAATTTAAAGACTTTAATTTTTAACCTTCTAGATGGTGGATTCAGGTCTGTGTTGCTAGTGAAAATCTTTATTGTATTTGATTATTTATATTCCATCTCGTTCTAAAAGGGAATTCAAGGGCAAAATCTTGAGATGAGCAGAAAATACACAGCAGACTATTTAATTGGCTATTGTTTTGTTAGCAGAGGTGATGCACCTGCTGACATTACAGACAGAAGCTGTGAAGGAAACAGGGAAGTATGAATTCATCTAAAGGCAAATGCAACTAACTATCTGTGGCGCCTCAGAAAGGACTGTGGCAGAGGGCTAGCAAGGGTATTGTTTTCTGAGCAAAGGAGCAGAGAAGAGTGCCGATCTCAGTGACAGAGTCACAGACAGAAGGAAGCTCTGCAGAAAGCAGCCCCAGCTCCAGACAAAGGAAAGTTCACAGTGTGGAAAGAGAACACCTAATAACAGATCAATTTTTCTCCAGCTTGGCCTGCTCAGAGTCAGCAGGCATTTTAGTAAGGTCATCTTCAAATCGGAACGGTAGATTTTTTCAAGGCATCTTTTATGATCTTTAATCTAGGATCAGTTTAGTATTTTTAGAAGCATTTCGATGATTTCACTGGTTATGTGAAATACAAAGCAACACGTTTTTCAACCCTGCGGTAACAGCGTGGTTGGTTTTTAGTGGTAGCGAATGTATAATTAATTGTGGTTTTTTAAGTTATTGGGGACAGAATCTTTTGGTTTAAGTTATTGGGACAGAATCCATTTTATTCCCAGTTTAAATATAATTTAGGTTTGTTTTTCTTTTTCAGGCAAGAGTGCAGCACTGTATCTGCTCGGTAGCCAGTGACCACTCCGTAGGACTTCTAAGTTTGCGGGAGAAAAAGTGCATCATGTTGGCATCTCGCCACCTCTTCCCTATTCACGTGATCAAATGGAGGCCCTCCGATGACTACCTGGTAGTGGGGTGTTCAGACGGCTCTGTGTACGTCTGGCAAATGGATACCGGTAAGGACAAGTGTGAAGAGATACAGTAGAAAATTAAATGGGGATAGCTTACTTTTTAGGAATTCAAAGTCTTTTATGTGAGACAAAAAGCCCTGGAATGTAAAAAGGTTGCTACTTTTATTTCTAATTACTACTCTTTCCAAACACGGTATTCTTAATTGGGGTACTGTGCCAGATACATGTGTTTGTAGAATGGTTCCCCGACCTTTAAACTCACACAATGGAAGACGATATATAGATGAGGACAGCTATGCAGACGACAGTGTGGACGTGATTTCTGTATAATTCATGAGGCAAATTGTGAGCAAGAGGAAGAAAACATTTTGTTTCAGATTCAGAAACAGTGGAAGACATCCAACTCTCTTTGATCAGCAGAAAAGCAATGCTGGGCAGTTAATTGTAGGAGGTACTGAAGTGACGGTTTCAAAGTTCTAGAGAGAACATTTAAATTTCACATTTCAGAATTTTTGTGCATTGAGGGTGCAATGCAGACCAAGTAATGCTTAGGTTAAAAGCCCAGGCTGTGATACTTTATAACACAGACTGCCCTGGCTTAGGCTTTGGGGAGACACATTGTGTCCTACCTTTGCAATTTTCAGTAATCATCTGTCAGTCTGTCAGTGACTAAAGCTTTTCTTTAGGTTAACTAGTTGTACTATATAATATTTGTATTCAATTTTTTTTTTCATTTCTTCATCTTTGTTTCAAATTGTCTTTTTTGAAGTCAGACCATACACACATTTCTGGTTGCACGATTGTGCAATGGGTAATTCTCGTAAACCTTTTTGAAATAAGTAGCCATAATTTCCAGTAATGTTTTATTTATTGTCCTCATTTAAACTGGCCGTACATAGGCAATCTTGACAAGAAGCGGTATTGTTGAAGTCCGTCAAACTTCTTTGCTTTTGCACTTAACCGTTCTTTCTCTTATCTGGTTGTAAAAGAGATTCATACTCTGTCAAATCTTAAAAGCACAAAGCATTAGAAGAGAAGGATGAACCCAGATCCCATTGCTCACTGGCAGATGTTAACATTTTTTGGCATGTTTCTTTCTAGTCTGTTTCTGAGCGTTTTCAAAAACAGAATTGCCGTCATGCTACATAATACAATTTTGTATCTTCCTTCTGTGTTCTTTTAGGTTATATTTATCTGCTGAAAAGCAGTCTAGTGTTTGCTTGTTTGGTCCCCCTCATAAAGTAAATGTACAGAGTTTGTCTTCAGCTTTGGAGTCTCACTGGCTGGAATTGAGGATCGAACACCTACAATAACTGTGCCTGTCCCAAGTCACTGGATTTTTGTTCCTTAACTTCCCCATTTGGCAAATGAGGATGATTGTATTTCTTATCTTACAGTGTTGCTGAGAGAATAAACTGAGATAGTGTTTCCCTGACATGTGGTAACCAGAATTTAAGTGTGTGTCCATGTATGAATATGTGTGCGTACATGCGAGTGTGGACATTTCCTATTGTCATTAAAGAAACATGCTACTTGTTATGTTGTTGAACTTGGGAATATGATTTCACCAATTTTTATAAATAATTTCTTTGGGAATTAGTATTAAGGAAACTTTTAGCAATAATGACGTCTGTAAAACATTGTTAAAATACTATGACTTTAAATATTGATGGTTCATGTATCTTAAATATAGAAAAGTATAGTAAACTTGTCTCAGACTTGTTTAAATATGATAGAGTATCATTTTCCTAATTTTTTGATACTTAACTATATGATATTTGAATATTTCAGATACTTAAATGTATTTGTAAAGCATATATGGAAAGAAATATGAAATTATTCACAACTGAGGCCTTACTGAAAGACAAAGTTACTTTTCTAAAAATTTTCTAGAGGAAAATGGCAAATAGGCCGTAACTCCAGGGGCATTGAAAGGTGTTATTCTTGTAATCACTTCAGTGTAATTAAGCTCCATGTAGATTAAGCAGAACATGTAATATTGAATTATACAAATTACCTTCTAAGGATTTTAGTCAACAGTCAGTTAATATGACATTTTGAAGTCAAGATAAATACTGTGGAGAAACTGAATATATTGTGGATTTCAGCCATAATAGGAGGTGTACATTTTTTTTTTTTCTCCTTGCTGTTCAGGCTGTAGCTAGTGATATGAAGGTCTCCGGGGAGTGAGTAAGGTACATCCTGAAGGTACTGACATTATTTATTTATTAAATTTATTTATTTATTAAATAAATAAAAAATGAAGCCAGATAAATCAGATTCGGCCAGGGTTTGATGTATGAAATGTATTTAAACTCTGAGGAGATACTGATCCCACTTCTTTGTGTTTGGGGAATGTATTTGTACAAATGAAGCCGGATCACTCTAACCCTGCTCTTCATATCCTGCCATTTCCTGTTTGCTGTTTTATGTTTTACCGATGTTTCCAGCTGAAATGTACACTGAAAATGTCTTTCCTTTATACATTGGTGCAGCATTTTCTTTCAGTCCCCCCCCTTCTTCAAATGGTTAGTTTGTGTTTTCATGGTATATTTCCTAATGAAATGAAGTTGAAGCCAGGAATATGCGATTTAATTACAAAGCTAGAGGCCTGGAGTCGTTTGCTCTTTTATTTTGACATCCTTATTGTATGCAATAGCAATTTAATATGGTGTAGAGGCCATGAAAGTTATTCTTTCACAAATCTAGATAGTTAGAAAACCAGTCAAACTCTAGTAACAAGGTTTGGCCAGATGAACTTCTTCTTTTCTTTTTTTTTTTTCTTTCTAGTCAGCGAAAGGGTAACTTTATTGAGGCCCCGGGGCCATGGGGCTTGGATAGGAGGCTGCCGGGTGGAGAAAGGAGGGGCCTTATTTGACCTTCTTCTTGGGGTGCAGATAGCTGGTGTGGCCACACTTCTTGCAGCCGTTGCCTGCAGGGGGCGCAGGCGAGCTTAACATTTGCAGCAGATCTTATCACAGTTGTACTTCTGGGCAAGCTGGCGGAGTGGGGAAGGCTCAGTGATGCCGCCGCTCAGACAAGCACCAGTTCTGAGAGTGCGGCCATCCCCCGAGCTGTTTGCCTACCGATGAACTTCTTGACTCCTCCTTAGGAACTTATTTAGCGGGCGGCCACTGACCCCAGGGCGGCTGCTTCTGCACAGAGCTGCTGGTGGGCTGCAGGGATCGGCTGCCTCATTCTCATTTGAGATTCCCAGGAAGTGTGCGCTGTCATTCCCACAGGCCTTTGACAAGGTCAGAATCCTGTCTGTTTGGGAAAAAGGCAGGCTTAGAGTAATGACTGATGTTACAAAACGTTCTTCTAATCTAACCGTTACCGAGCACACACACCGTTCTTCCCCTTTGCTGTGTAACAGAAGTGATTCCCACATCCTGTTTCTATTCCTGCCACACTGTAGATGTAATTGTTAGGTGTTCTTGGGCAAGTGCGGACACCGTTAATGCTTGACAGATGTTATACTGATAGGAAGTCTTTCCAGTTTACTTTGTTCTGTTACCTTTTTAATTTATTTTCTGCCCTCCAAGTTTTCTAATATTTCTGTTTTTTATTTACTTCATGTAGAATGGATGAGTCATCTTTTTGAACTTAAATATGTAATACAGCGTACCGGAGAATTCTGAATTAACGTGTATTTAGATGTCTGTTGAAAAACATGCATAAACCATGGGTAACCAAAAATGTGTTGGGGCTCAGATTTTCATACAAGTGAAGTCTGAGTGGCTATGTTACTAAGTTTTCCTTAAAGAAAAACTTAATGTTTTTAAGGTTAAAATTAATATTTTTAGTTTTAAAAAACATTTTTATGCTTTTTTCCAGATGTATTTAAATCGATGGTTTGGCTTGTTAGTAAAATTTACTAAAATTGCTAAAGAGAATCAGGAGGTAGTGCTGTAGTTCAGTATTTTGTTAGTAGTGGAAGGGTTTTGTAGCACGTATTTTCTTTTCTTTTTTTTGAGACAAGAGTCTCACTATGTCACCCTTGGTAGAGTGACATGGCATCACAGCTCCCAGCAACTTCAAACCCTTGGGCTTAAGTGATTCTCTTGCCTGAGCCTCCCAAGTAGCTGGGACTACAGGTGCCCTCCACAACGCCGGGCTATTTTTGTTGTTGTTGTTGTAGTTGTCATTGTTGTTCAGCAGGCCCAGGCTGGGTTTGAACCCGCCAGCCCTGGTGTATGTGGCTGGCACCTTTACCGCTGAGCTATGGGAGCCGAGCCACCAAGTATTTTCTTCACATATACTACTCTTTGCTGGCAGTATTTGATACAGATGAGATTTGATTTTATATTGCTGTTTCTTAATATATTACCATTATTGCATCACCAACTTTTCTATATCTTCCATTAATACATGTTTCCTTTTCATTCTATTACAAAACGTGCTATAGGACAGGGGAAGACACAGAATGAATGGGTTAAGAAAGAAAAGGACTTGACTGAAACTGGTAAAACCAAGTGTAATCAGAGAGTTTCGTTTTTCTGTTTCGATAGCTGAGTCTGTGTGAAATGTTACCTACAGACCTATGTAGTTACCATTTCTGTTGCTTCTCACTTTCACAACCCTGCTATGCAGGTAATAGCTAAGTCTTTCCCGTTGGGTCTCCCTACCTCATTTTTCCCCTTTTCAGTGTACCATTCTCATTCACAGCTAGTATCCCCATACCGAGGCTTTTGTTAGTGAGTACTCTGCTACTCTTTCTACTTTCTAATCCATCCTGTACCCTGCTGGGTAATCAATCTTAGGAAACAAACCAACTACAGCATTTGGTTCATGTTACTGTTCTAATGAATAAACCACTAACAGTTTTAGTTCATGAAATCTTCAAGACAAGGTCTTTACCATGTACTATTTTTTTCTTTAATTCACTTTAATTCCCTGGAGCATGTAGCTGGTGCCCTAAGCACTGAGCTGCAGACACTGAGCCCTTACCTCATACTATTCTTCTTTTTTTTTAAGAGACAGAGTCTCACTCTGTTGCCCTGGTCTAGAGTGCCACAGCTCATCAGGCTGCCTCACAGCAACCT